GATCTGGGAACGCCAAAATGTCTGCGCGGCTCTCTCGCGTCTCCCCCCTCGCTCACTTCTCGACCTTCGCTAACTGGCGCCCCATCGCCACGCTGCTGCTTGCCCCCTGCCCGCCGCGAAAAATTTCGCGGAGCTCGTTGACGCGCCCGACGTTGCTTCGCAGCCGCTGGGCGGCCGCCCGCGCTGCCGGACGAGAATTATGCGACGCACGCGGGCCTGGGCTCGCAGCCCAGATTAGTCGGGCGGCGGACGTGCCAGCGAGTCGGCGCCTTCGCGCGGCCATCGAGATTATCTGGTTCGAACGCGCTCACGATGGCTAACGAGCCCCCCTGCTCAGCCCAAGTCGGCCGCGCAACTCCCCCGGATAAGCGCGGGCTGCAGCGGGGCGCGCCGACAGGCCCAGGATGCCCGATGCAGTTTTCAAGAACAACCGCTCTCAATATCCACGTCTCTGCAATCAGGGACTAGCGCAGCAAGACCCAGTGCCGACGTCCGGCACCGACGGTCAACAGACTCCGCCAGGGACTTTCTGGGCGCTGCTTCGCGCCCGCGCACTTCCAAGTCCTGCGCGGCAGCGCCCCGGGGGGCCGACGTGATTCGCCGCGCGCCGTCACGCTTGCAACCATGCTGCTTCTTCCTGTTATCGCAGCGAACTTGACCGGGGAAGCCGAAGTTCGCCCTGGCGAACGCCTCCCCGCTAGCGATGGAACCTTCAAGCACGCCAGCGTCGATCTTGATCTGGGGCGGACGCGTTGTTTTCGACTCTGCTATGCAAAGTTGCCTCTCGCGCAAGCCGAAGCGCGCGCTGTTCTGCCACTCGTTGTCGTCGACGAACAAGTGAGGATCGAGCGTCGCGTCGTTTGAGTTTTTTTTTTTGATGAGTCGATGAGTCGATGAGTAAAACTTCACGTTATCCCAAGCGCCCTCGCCATCTCCACCATCCCCAACCGCCGCCATCATGACCGGCGCGTAGATGCCGCGCAGTACGTCGCAGCGCACGAAGTGGCGAAATACCCAAAGAACCAACGATGTCGCGCACAATATTCCGCACATCGGACAATCTATACTTCAGCCCTCGGACCACGGGGCAATCAGCGACCGTTGCATTCACCCCCTCGCACCTGAAATGCACGTAGCAGATATTCTGCGGATCAAGTTCAGACAAGACCATGCTCGGGCCCCTGTAGCAAACGTCGAAAACATCTCCCTGTGACGGAAGCTTATCAGCGTTCAGCTTGGAAATGCATGCCTTCCAGATCTCCGACTGCGGCCCCCGTGCTGAATCCTATCGAAATCCGCCACTTTGCCTTCGCAGGTTCCGGGCGTGTTAGACTGCGGTTTCGCGTCTGGTGGGTCCGTAATTGACGTTTTCTAGAGCCACAAATTCTCTGGTCCCCTGAAATGGTTTCCGGGACGGCAGGGACGATGAAACATCGTCTCCAGATGGCCCGACCAACATCCATGTGGCCTCTGACCCATTGCCCAGGCGAGGGGGGCGAGGGTTGCTGCAGGCACCTTGATACACTAGACGGTTGGGCAAGATCGCGGCGAGCTCTGCTAGACTGTGGTCTATGTAGTGTTTCCCTGAGGTACGTTTCACATTGCGATCACAACTGACCTTCGCGTTCTACCGACACGGTCTCAAACCTGAAGGGCGCCAACGGATAGAGCACAAACAGCACGCTCAAGGGGTCAGCCAACAACCAAACACAAACTGGCGCTCAGAGGCTGGCAGAAACCAATCATTGACACAATGGTTACAATAAGGGCTCGATCAAAAAAAACTCCCGCAAGAAACCCAACCCTGACATCCGAGGATGCACATGAGCGTCTGGCATGCGAGCGCCACGTTTCCATCGCAGCTCCATGGAAATCCAGGAATCCCAGGGTGCCTTGGCGGGAAGCTGAGCGTGTCTTGGCACGGGCCCCTACTGTACTACACTTGCCGCTCCGCGCTGTAAATCCTCACTCGGTAGACCCGGTGCCGCCACACACTTGCGCCCGATGTAAGACCTTGCCATCCCATCAATATATCAACATTATCATAGTGCTCCTCCTCCTCCTTCTCGCTATTCGAATCCTGCTCGCTCTCCTCATCCTCATCATGTTCTTTCTCCTCCTCATGATCCCCCTCCTCTTCCTCATTCGCTTTCTCCTCCTCGCAATGTGCATCCGCGTTCTCATCCGCGTTCTGCCTCCTCGTCCTCGTCCTCGTCCTCGTCCTCGTCCTCGTCCTCCTCCTCGTCCTCCTCGTCCTCCTCCCACTCCTCATTCGCATCATCCTCCGCGTTCCTCCTCCTCCTCCTCCTCCTCTTCCTCCTCCTCCTCATCATCATCCTGCTCCTCACTATCCTCTTCCTCACCCTCCCCGTTCTCATCCGCATGTTCATCCGCTTTCCTCCTCCTTCTCCTCCTCCTCCTCCTCCTCCGCCCCCTTCCCCTCCTCCTGGTACTCCTCCTCACGATCGTCCTCACTATCCTCCTCATCCTCCTCTTCTGCACGATGCTCCTCCTCCTCCTCCTTAAATCCTCCTCCTCCTCCTTCTGGTATCTTCTCTTCTCGTCTCTTCTCGTCTCGTCTCGTGTCTTCTCTTCTCGTCTCTTCTCGTCTCGTCTCCTACTCCTCCTTATCTTCCTCGCCTTCCTCTATCCCTCGCAAATATATGTTTGAACGCAAGTCCACAATAAATATTGTGAGTAACGCTCTCCCGCTCTCCTGCTCTCTCGCTCTCCCGCCACTGTCCCCCCCCGTCCCCCGTTGCTCGTCTGCTTGCCTGCTTCCCCGCGTTCCGCCCTAGCGTCGCTCAAGGGGAATCTGAGGACCAATCTTCCGAAGAGAATCCTAAAACTCAAAGAAGAGAGGCCTGAAGCGGATCCTGCACTTATGGGCTCGCACTTCTTGTGTAAAGAACTTGGCCTGCGGGCCTCTCTGGCGGCTCCGTGCTCGCCGTCGATGCCCCGTCGACGCCTCGTCCCCGCCCGTCGTCTGGGCCTGCAAGCTGGTCTGGCGGTTCCGTGCTCGCCGTCGCCGCCTCGTCGCCGCCTCGTCGCCGCCTGTCCTCTGGGTCTGCGAGCCCGTCTTGCGATTCCGTGCTCGCCGTCGCCGCCCCGTCGCCGCCTCGTCGTTGAATATCTTTGCTTCGCGATGCATTGCCTTGCTTCACCTTGCTTTGCATTGCATTGATGTGGTTTGCTTTGCCTTGCTTCCACTTGCTTTGCAGTGTGTTGTTTCGCATTGAGGTGCATGGCTTTGCCTTACTTTGCCTTGCTTTGCACTGGCTTGCTTTGCATTGAATTGCTTTGCACTGGCTTGCCTTGATTTGCGTTGTTGCTTCGCATGGCATTGATTTACATTGCTTTGCTTTGAGTTGCGTGGCTTTGTATTGCGTTACATTGCTTTAAGTGTGCTGCATTGACTTGCGTTGTTTTGCACTCATGTGCATTGTCTTGCTTTGTTTTGCATTGCTTTGCATTTCGTTGCATTGCTTTGTTTGACCTTGCACTGCTCTGCTTAGCTTTGATACACATTGCTGTGGTCTGATTGGCATGGCAGGACTACGCCATGCTTAGCATCGCTCTGCATCGCTTTGCATTGCTTTGCGTTGCTGCGCAGTGCTCAGACCCCATTCCCAAGACACGCCTGCTTCAGGTGCGCCATAGGAATGCCACTTCCGTACGCTCCACTTCGAGTGCCAAAGAGTGATAGAAACAACACTCCCACACACTCGCTGCTCTCTGCGCTACGTCTCCCTCCGTCTCCGTCGTCATTCCGCCCCCTTGCTCTCCTGTGTCTCCTGCCTCTGTCGCACAAATCTCTCCGCTCGCAGGTGCCCACCGCCCCCTTTCACACTCCTCCTATCGTCCCCGCTTGTCCTGGGGAGGTGCTGGTGCGGTAGAATACGGTGGTAAAAAATTGCTCGGAGAACCATTCCCCGTGCATTGTTCGATTCCGTGCGTGTATGGACTCGGTAGATGATCCGGGATGCTCATCGATGCTCCTCGCCGAGAACATATTCATACGTCCGAGCGATGCCAAGGCACCAATGGTAACAATTTGCTTCCTCTCTGGTGGTCGGACTTTGTTTCCGCACCGGTGGTTGCAATGTGCGCTTTTTCCAACGGCGATCTTCTTTTCTAAGGACCTGGGCCTGCGGGCGGCTCTGGCCGCCATGTGGTTGCCGTCGCCACCTGGTCACCGCCAATCGCCGCCCGTCGCCTGGGCCTGCGGGTCGTTCTGGACGCCGTCGCCGCTTGGTCGCCGCCTGCCGCCGCGTCACCGCCCGCTTTGCACTGCTTTACATGTCGTTGCATTGCTTTGCATTGCTTTGCGTTGCTTTGAATTTCGCTGCATTGCTTCGCATTGCTGTGCATCACATTGTTTTGCCTGGCTTTGCGTTGTATGCAGTTGCATTGCGTTGCATTGCGTTGAATTCCATTACATTGCATTGCTTTGCTTTGCATTGCATTGTATTGCGTTGCTGTACATTGCGTTGCTTGTCATTGAAATGCTCTACCTAGATTGCGCCACATAGATAGCTAAAACCACACACACACACACACTGTTTGGGGCCAACGCTGGCTAACAGATATCCATGCGGGCCGCCTCCGGAGGTCCAGGGAGATCGGGCTCCAGGGCAGCGGCTACAGATAAAAACGAAAACGAAAGGCGGCCAAGAGAACACAGGTCAAGAACACGAGGCCCTTCGCCGAGCGCCCAAGGCCCCATGAAGGCACCCAGACCGAGAGCTAATGCACGGCGGGGAGTACCCAAACACGATGAACAGAAGGGTACCCCTCCAAAGCTAGGGCTGTCTTTCAAATAAGAAAAAGAGGCATATCCAAAAACGTTCTGAGGTGCCCGCTCTGCGCTCCGAAAGCTTACTGTTTGCGAATGTGTTTCTTCTGCGCTTATCAACTGTAACCCCGAGAAAACATGGATCCCCGATCCCCGATCGTCGACGCCAGCGGCAGGAGCTGGCGGCAGCATCTGGGCGCCCCACCAGCAGGTCCATCGGGCCCTCCTTCCCGTCCTCGGTGGCCCGCAGGACGCCAGCGTACTCGGGGACGAACTGCAGGAGCCTTCTGGGGGGCTCAATAGGCCCTGGAAGCGGCAGAAAAATGTTTAAGTGTTTTCGAGTCTAACTCTTGGTATTGAAACGGTCATAAAATAACGCTCGACAAAACAAAGAAAAAGGAGCCAGAATCGGAATCGGAACCGCCACCGCAACCAAAGCGGCGACGGAACCAGAAACAATACGGCGACGGAACCGGGGAAACAAAGAAAATTATAAAACTGACCCCGACAAAAAATTACACCATCGCTTCCACGGCCCACTGAGCCACAAGGGGGCAAAAAGCTTGAGTAGGAAAAACAAGGGGGGCTCCCAGTGAGCCCCGACGCGCCCCCAAGAGGCCCCAAGAGGCTCTCACGAGGCCCCCAAGAGGCCCCCACGAGGCCCCCGAGAGGCCACCCAAAGCGAACCAGATGCCCCCAAGAGCCCTCCAAGAGGCCCCTGAGAGGCATTCCAGAAGAACCTACGTGCATCTCCGATGCTCCTGACCCACAGGCCAGGCACGGTGGCATGACTCTTGACGAATTCAGTGTTATGGGGGTGGGCAGAATGGCGCAAGCCTCTTGAATAAAAGGAGGGGGATTGGGGACTCAGCACTGCACGCGGCTGGCTACCCCGGCGCCCACTGGCGCCGAGGGCGGCCGTGCCTCAAGGAAGGTGCCCAGCGGGGGCCGCGACCAGCTGCACGCAGCGGCTTTCGTATGGCGGGTTCGTGTCGTGACGGCCTGGGCGTCGGTTCTGACACCGCGTAAATCGCTCAATCTTGAACGATCTGCGGCTTTTCGATCGCCAGATCTTTCAATATTGGCCGAATCTGGACCACTGGCGGCGTTCAACCTTGAACGTCCACGGCGGGGTCGCTGCCGCGTCGGCTCGACACGAACCTTCCGTACCCCCTTGCTCCCAAAGCCTCGTTCTATCCTTCCCGAGCCCTGGGGGCGGGAGAGGTAAGTTCGACAAAGAAGACAAAAGCAACACAGAAGCGGCGTAAAACATGCATCGCCTGATCCTTCAATGCATCTCCATGTCCGACCCATCTCATTCCGTTATGTTCCCTTCCGCTCAATTCGCCTCCTTTCTGTTAACCTTGCACCCGGCCCGTCTTGCTCCACGCAATCGTTTCCCTGAGTACACTCATTTCGTTCGGCTCGCTCGTCTCAGTCGCTGCGCTCAAAATGCTGGCTCCATCCGCCGCAATGAAGGTAACTCACTGCACTCCAGCACTTTCACGGCTCCCAATCAACACTTCAATGTCATTCGGTTTCTGGTACAAATTAATGTCAAATGCTGATTTGCACCACCACTCCGTTACAACACAAGTCTGCTTAGACCAGTCATTTATACGCCTTGCCTCGAATCCGACACCGTGCCGTCGACATAGAGTGGAGTGTCCTCAGGTGGCTTCGAATTCCCTGCCATGGGCACTGTAGGGGGCTCAGGGCCCAGACGCTAAAATGGACACTGGACAGTGTTCTCGTTTAGCCTCAAGTGGCAAGCCAGCATGGGACAACGGAACATGCCGAGCGACTGCCCGTCTGGCCACAGAATGGCAGAGAATTGCCGGGGAACCTGGTGTGAAATCTGCGCTTTTCCCTGGAAGCGTCCCCGGGGGGACGTAGGAGCGAGGAGGACGGGAGGCGGGGACGATGCGCAGCCCCAGCGAGGCCCGCGGCCTGGCGAGCTCTCCCTTGCCTCTCATGCCGCAGTGCATCGCGGACTCGTAGAAGTTAATCTCGTCCATTGCGTGGGCGAGGTCCTCAGGGGCGGCGCCTCCCCCCCTCCTCATCCTGTCTCTCCTCCCCTATCCTTCTCGCCATCCTGCTGTTTACATTGCCCTGCCTGCAGCTCAGAACAGTTGTAGCGTGTTCGTAATATGACTCCTCCTCCTCCTCCTCCTCTTCCTCCTCCTCCTCGTCAGGAAGGCGAGGAGAAAGAGGACGGAAAGGTGGTGAGGAGGTCAGATAAGATGGTGTCAGACCGACCGCGAAGCGATCCCAACCTACAGTAGGAGGACCTGGCCGCCATCTCAACATTGCTGACACATTTTGGAGCAAGACCTCTCGAACCTACGTCGAGATATTCCGACGCGTCTCGGCAACTGGGGCCTAGGGGGGCTCTTACACTCATCAGATGCATTCCGAAGCTGCTGATGATGGTAGCTCCCGCACGCCGCACAGTATTTCAATGATAACCAACGATCTGCTATACATCATGTGGCGGAGAGCGTGGACCCACCCTCCAGAGGCACCCTACCATCCACAGCCGTGAGATGCGATGGCATTAGGCCTCGATGCCAAGAACACTTAATACTGTCTCCCTAAGCGAGCGCTTTGCGCCGCAACTCCTGGGACATATTCAAAGCGGGGGATCCTCGATTGCAACCGCAAAGGCAGAAACTATGTTTTGGCGTTTCTGGCCCGTCTCCGCATCTTGAACACTGAATCGGAATCGAATGACCTGCTTCCTCGTTGCGAAACGCTGGCCATGCCCCGCCGACCGCGATGGTTAAGAGAAATACGCCAGCCGCCTACCGACTTTCGGAATCTGCTCTAACAAGTCTACGCGTATTTCACCATACTTTGCACTGCCCCGAAAACCCAAAGAACGCCGCCTCCTCATGCATGGCACACTTGCCCGTTTTCCTTGGCCATAGCTTCGAGAGGTGGCGGGCGAGGCCCGCGCTTTGAGCCCTGGGATCCTTCCAGCCCTGTTTCGAGCCCGGGGGCTCGCGGACTTCCAACACGGTGCCGGCGATCGGGCGCCTCGGCTAGGCGCTGCTCGGCGCTGTCGCCCTCTCGGAGCTGGACGGGGTGTACGAGCTGCTTATCATCGGCCCCAAGGAGGTCGAGAGCGAGGAACCGTGCGAGACCTTGGCGGGCGCCGACGTCGAGCCGCGGCGCGGGGTGGCTGCATTCATGGCGCGGCGCCGTGGGCTCGCTGGAACCGAGTGTATGTGCAGGCCAAGGGGCGCAACGCTGGAGTGGTCATGCTCCTGGTCTCGCGCATTGGGGCCGCCATCAGCATGACCTGGAAGGCGGTGGACCCTGCGCAGCGTGTGGTCGTGATCAACTTGCGGGACAAGGCCCACATGCATGCCCGTCCGAAATTGGAGGTTACCTGGACCGAGCAAACGGGCCTGATGGACAAGCAGAGGGAGCAGGCTGCCATGGCGGCGGAGAGGCTGATCGTGAGGCGCGAGCTCGGTCAGGCGGAGGCGACGTCGGTCAAGATCGACAACAGAGCTGGGAACAAGAAGCAGAAGGCCAGCAGCACAACAAGGTCGCCGCCTAGATGGACAAGGGAGAGGCACAGGGCAGCAGCTGAGCTGCCAGGCACAAGAGAAAAAAAGGCGCTGATATGGCAGGAGCATTAGCGGCGTGGACCCCTATCACAGGCTGCATCGCAGAAGGGCTCACATCATCTCGTAAGACTCGCTGAAGAGCACCCTAGCGCCGAGCGGCGCCAATCTGGTTGGCGGCGTCGTCGACGATGGAGTCAATCTGCGACGCATCGATGCCCCATTCCTTCAGGTCGTCATAGTGCGGGTGGAACTGTTCAACTCCCATGCCACTGTGCGTGCGCGACACGAGAGGCCACACCTCCGACTCATCTAGCACCATCATCTGGCCCTTGAAGCCGTTGACGGCAAGCTTGGTCCTCGCACCCCACAATGGCGAGCGAACCAGCAGGTCTTTCAGGGGCTGGTAGATCTTCGAGAAGTTCTGCTGACGAAGACGTACGGGTAGAGGCAGGTCTCCACGGCAGCGAAGCGGCGTGACGCTGCCGTTCCTGGGGTCGCGCCAGGCCATCTGACTCTCGTTGGCAGAATGCATGAACTGCTTCGCGGAGGCTTCCGACGGGAACTGGATCTCATAGCTCTGGGAGGCGCCCTTGAACGTCGCCTCAGCGTCGCGCAACAGGACGGGGAACCTCTGCTTCAGCTGGTCGTAGTGTTGCTCGCGTGCCTTTGCCAATACAGAGCGAGGCCACGTGCCGATGTACTTATTCTTAGGATTGCTGGGACGGTCTGGAGGCGCGCCTATCGGTCCACTCCGCGGGCCACCAGGGTGTTCACCCCAGCCTGACTTGGAGCGGTTGAAGCTGCCGACGAGGAAGTACTCTGCTTCAGGTGGTCAATCTGCTTCTGCTGCTCCGCAAGCTGGTGCTGGATACCTTCTGCCGTGTGGTCCAGACGAGACGACAGGCTTATTATATACTCCTCATGATGACCAAGCTTCTCCCATATCTCATTGTGTCCTGCTTGGAACTCCCCGACGATGGCGGTCGAGAAAGCCTCCATCATGGACTCCATCTTCTTCAGCATGGCAGTCTGCGAGAACGGCTCAGAACTGCGGCTCCGACGCTCACTCGACGGCGATCTGGACCCGCAGCGGCGGGCGTGCCTGGCACTGACGGGCAGGTGCCTCGGACTGCCAGACGATTCACGCTGAGCGCGGCGGCGGCCCATTGCGGCCGATGAAAACGGAACTGCAGGGCAAGGTACAGTGCGCAAAATGCGTGTGTGGACTGGAAAAAAGAAAGCAGAGGACCCCTGTCCAATGGGGCACTCTCCAGGGCCTCTCTCGCGCGCGGCGGGCACGGGCCACTTGAGTCGGGGGGGTGAGTTCCCGAAATGGCCTTGAGCCAAAATGGCTACGGAGGAGGAGGAGGAGGAGGAGGGAGTCCGTTGCCATTTTGGCCCAAGCCATTTTGGCTCAAGCTATTTTGGCTCAAATAACACATTTCTCGAGGTTGCGAAGCGCTTGTTGGTCGCTCCACAGGTGGCTGCCCTGCCAGGAGCGACCCGTCAATTTTGGCATCATTCCCGCTCCAGCCAGATCCGCCCTGCTCCCCCGCGGCAATTGCCATGGCGAACCGCTCAGAGCGTGGTCAGTGAAACTGCCCGTGCGGACGATATGTCAAAGGCCACAAGTTCTGCCACTGCGGAAGGGCTTGGGAGGAAAGGCTTCAGGGTCATCAGCAGCGGCAGCAAGGCTGGCAACCTGGGCGTGGACAGCCATCAGCATGGCTCAATGTCGATCGCGGTGCCACCGACCATGGTCGCAAGCAGCAGGAGAAGCCGGCGAGCAGACAATCCAAGGAGGAGCGCCAGCCGTGTTCCAAGCCGTGGTGCAAAGCCCGAACGCGCGTGCAAGGCCCTCATCTCCGGGATCGTTCCCCTATGCAGAGCAGATGTTATAGGGCACGAAAACTTCGTGGAGGCACCAACGGACAAAGCCTCGCACAGGAGCTTCCGTGCACAAGGCCATCGGAGGATCGAGGAGCTCGCAGAGATGGCTGCGGCCGCCCGCAGAGCCAGCGCTCTGGACGAGGCCACTGCATGCGAGTAGAAAATAAGTGTCATCAAAGCCGCACTCGGTCAGACACTCCCGACGGGCAAGCAGTTGGGCGAGATGAGGGCTCGAAAGGAGAGGGTCATCGAGAAGTTGCGCAACGCCAGGAGCAGGATCAAGCTATTAGCGGAGCAGGAGGCGGATATCCTCCACGAGCTGGACAGGGTCAAGGAGCTGATCGACGAGCTCGAGGACCAGTACCAGGAGGAGGACGATCTTGCGTATGCAGGAGCTGCGCCCGCAGACAGCCATGCGGCGGCCCCGACCGCTGGGCATGGGGAGCAGCCACAGCCGCAGCAGCAGCAGGAGCAGCACCAACGGGATGCACATATGCGGAGAGTTGTCTCGCTTCCTGGTGCCGCGGCGAGGCGCCCGCAGGCTGCGGTGCCACCGCCGCCGCCCCCATCGGCGCCTGGACAGAGTGCGCAGGAACAGATCAATCAGATTTCGCAGGTCATGACGCAGATGATGACGACGGTCATGCACCAGAGCGAGCAGGTCCACAGGTTGCTCGCGCAGCAGGGGATGGGACCAACCACGGAGATGAACGCGAAGATGGGTGGTCCGCCGCAGGCGGTGGCTCAAGCAGCAGCAGCGCCTGGCACCCCGCCAGGCTTCCCTCCGCAGCCCCCATTGCAACCAGCCGCGCATGCAGCAGCGCCCACAACTCCGAGTGGACCAGTGCCTGCTACGCCTGTTGCGCAGCCCCGTCCGAGATCAATGGCATTCGAGGCACAGGAGGGCGAGGATGGGACAAGATCGAGGTCACGCTCCCCGATTCCCACGGAGCAGCCGTCACAGCCACAGCCCTCGACACCAGTCGCGCACACTCCTGGGAAGGAGGCCTCGGCGAAGCCTGTGCCAGGATTGAGTTCAGATGTCGAGGATGGGGTGCCAGGTTATCCAGTTCTATTCGGAATTTCTCCTATGCAGCCGGTGCAGGGAGATACCCGATGCGACCCGTTCGTCGCTACGCCAGCGGGCTCGATCACGGAGGAGCCCGAGATCATCGAATCCAGTATGCCCACTGGCGAGCCCCCGCCGAGGAAGGAGCCCAAGAAGTCGCAGGACAGCAATGCTTCTGCTGCTCGCAGGGCGGGAAACTGATCGAGGGCGGGCAGGCGCCAAGGACCTGTGTGCAGAATGACGTGGGGGTGAGCGTTGCTAGTCTACCTGTGGTCTCTGATGCTTGGCCGCCGCGTCATAGCTTTCCCGATATAGCCACGACCGTTCCACTTGCATCACAATCGTGCAACAGCAGGCGTGCATCCACTGATGCCTGTGCCATGTGTACCGAACCACATGTTGCAGGCGCTAGTTTTGGTATCACCTCAGATTGGCATTCAGCAGGGGAAGCAGAAGATAGGCACGAATGGCCTCACAGCTCGATACGTTCGCAAAT